TTGATTAGAACACGTGAAAAATACATTCGCTGGCTTCCCTTTCTGCGCGGTGGCCATCATGGATGTATGATGGGCCTGTACTCTGGGGATGGAGGAACCCAGAGTGTGCAGACCTGGTGCCTGATACCTGGGGAGCCCCTATGCCTGTCCTAGGCAGTTTGCCTCGACTGCTTCTATGGGAGAGACCCATAAACTTGTTTCTTATTTAAACCAATGATAGCCTGGCATTTTCTTTGTGTGCATAGATACTCAATCCTAGCTATTAATTGCTAAATATTTTCTTCTTACAAAGGGGAACCAGGCTAAGAAAAAATAAGCGACTTTGTTCAAATCTTTCTGTCTGACCCCAGACTTCTTTGTCTTTCCAGCACAGTTTATACTAGCAAAAGTACTATTAACCTGCACTAATTTAGTGCTTCATAATTTGGAAACTTTTTTTTTTTTCAAGACACAGTGTTTTTACTTTAAACTAATGCATAACTAAACGATTCCTCCCCAAGGAATCTGTTAGCTAAGATCCTAATTATAGTGAGCTATTACAGTTAAATTTATACTGTTCACCAAGGAAACTTTTTGTAATTTTATTAGTCATCTCAGTTATATATTTAATATAATACATGCATCAAGGCAATTCTCTTAAAGACAATATCTTGTTAGTAATAAAAATAGGATATTAAATCATTCTTTTTAAGTGTCTCTTTTCTCAGTCTTTTAAAAAAACATAAAAAGCTTTAATTTTTAATAGTGAGAAATTTACATTATTTTTTTCTTCTTGAACTTGTATTTTCATCCTACTCCACTCACAGAGTTTTATCCACATTTATTATATTTACAGATTCAAAGTATTTTATTGGTCACTCTATCATAGCCTCTGAAAAAATAAATGTGTAAATCTAAATTTTACCCAGTAACCATATGGTTCTGTATAAAACAAACACACAAACAAAAACACAGAAGAACAAACAAAACAAACAAAAAACTTCCCTTGGATTGAGTTATTGTTACAATTATTATTGGCACTCAATCAAAAAAATCACAGATTTTAATGAATAGTTTATATAAAAGAAAAAAATCACTGAAAATGAATCTCACAGTCTTTTTTTTTATTTTTTTTTCCTTTTTGTCTTTTTTCGTGTCTGGCAATGGATCGCAACCCTCAGTGTCGCGCCGGTACCGGACCGGGACCGGCAACGGGATCACAACCCTCGGTGTTGCCCCCGCTCCTCGCTCAGCCAGTGAGCAGCCGGTCTGTATGTGGGATCCGAACCCTCGGTGGGAGCGCCGCCACGCTTCCCAAGCGGCGCACTGTAGCAGTGCGCCACCGGGCTGGCCCCTTTCCTCTGTGTTTTGTTCTCTCCGGACCCCAGTGGATTTGATGGTTCCTACCCACAGTGAGGGTGGGTCTTTCCCACCCAGGCCGCTCAGACTCTCATACTAATCTCTGCTGGAAACACCATCATGGTTGCACCTGAAAAGATTGCTTTACCAGGTTTCTCAGCATTCCTTCATCTAACCAAGCTGACATTTGGAATAAACCTTCACAAAAGTTATATTGATGTTGTACTTCCAGTTGGCTAAAAGGCACAAATTTGTGGTGAAAAAAAACTCAGTTATAGATGACACACACAAAAACCCAGCTCTGGGGAGAATAGGGTTTCCAGAAGGTATGGGAACTGGCAAAGAGCAGGTTTTTTTGGAAGGTACTGAGTCCAGCATGAGGTAAAAGTATATCTTCACCTGTATGAATACAACCCCCAAAGCACAGGCAACCAAAGGAAAAACAAACAAATATGATTATGTCAAACTAAAGGGCTTCTGTGCAGCAAAAAAGAATTAACATAGCAAAGGACAACCAATAGAGTAGAAGAAAATATTTGCAAAATATACATCGGACAAAGGATTGATATCCAGAATATACAAGAAACAGAAACAACTTAAAACAAACAACCAAATAAACCAATTAAAAATTGGGTAAAGGAGCTGAGTAGGCATTTCTCAAAGAAACAAGAAAGGCCAACAGACACATGACATATAGGAGTAATGGACATTCAGAGCACAAAACAGCTAAGAAGACACTAACAATATCTAGCAGTATCTGGCAGGGCCCAGGCACAATGTAGGCGTTTGAGTTATTCCAGTCTTTAAGAAAAGCAAAAAGAGAGAATGGCTCAGGGGTGGATGGTCTGCGTATGTTACACTGAGAGAAGACCAGTTATCCCGAAGGGTACGAAATGCAGGGAATGGTTCTGTGGAACAAAATAACACCCTGACTATGAAAACTAAGACTTCAGTCAGGGTGGGACTTAAGCAAGTTCCAGAGTGTTAGACTGAAGCTCTTCAGGTTCTTCCTCCTACATTTGAGATTTATTTTAGAGGTTAAGATGATGGTGAGACTGGGAGCTAGAGTGAAGTGGCTAGAAACTGTGGAGAGAAAATCGTTACAGAGGTGGGGTAACAGGAGAGACCTAACTATGAGAAGCATTTGCCTAAATAGAATTGAATGTTGCAACTGAGTATTTTCATATGTAAACACGTTGTTGTTCTTACCACACTCCTCCGTATCCACATCACCCTCCCATACATGTAGTGGCAATGGATTCCCTTGATTTCCCTGGGAGCATAGAGAAAATAGAGACTGGTTGGCTTGCAGACACTTCGTATACGTTGTTAGCCTCACAATTCGTGTTAGTATTGTGGAAGTAAGCTATGTGAGAGGTGAAGCTAAGTTCAAAGGGAAGAATACTTGGAAACTTAAACCATATGTCTACCCTGCCACACCTTTCACAATTTCTTCTCAGATAAGCATCACCCCCACAAACACACACATACAATCACCTTAAAAATTCAGATTGCACAATATGCAGTAGAAGCATTATTGGAAGAGATGGGAAAATAAGCCAATAAAAGTAATAATGATCTTTACAGGTCCCACCTATGAACGTATCTTCTTCTGGGCTCATAGCATCTTGTATCAAATACTACCTATTCAGTGCCACTAGAAAAGTCCCCAGAAAGATGGTTCTAGGCATGCCTACAAGCTTGCCACCAAGAAAAATGATTCTACCCATGCATTTCCTCCCCCAAACCAGCTTAATCCTAATATCAACTGTTAGAAACTCAGTCCTAACTCACTTTATCATGGTCACAAGAGAAGTTAGTGAGAAAAGCACTAACCAGGGGAACAAAAAAAAGGCAACCAGGCCAAGTGGGCTGACAGCAACATCTCTTCCTAATGCTCGGGCACATAATTTATACCACACGTAATGTGGTATACACTCACCACAGTGCCATTTTCACGGACCCCTCTTTAATTTTCTCCACAAAATCCATCAAGTCAAGTTAGTTTGTGATGTTTCAAAATAAAAAAAAATCAAGAGAAAAGAACACGCAATATGTCTTCTAGTGTTGGATTCTTAAAAAATAGGACTAGGGGTGAAAAAAACATGTAGGAAAACCAAAGCACTTAAAAGGAAACCATATTCTACAAACATAATAATGAATGGCATACATAAGGTAATATGACATAAAACAAAAAAGCAAATAAGTTTATGACTATTCTCTTCAGTGTACAAATCCGTGGCAGCTCCTGGATTCTCTAGCAACATAAAACATATACACGTTGAAAAAATATATCTACACACACACACACACACACACACACAGACACACACACACAGTGAATTGCCTGTTCTGCTAGTACAAAATGGGCCCAAAGAATGTCAACTTGTTTCTTACAGAAAACAATAAATATACGAGTCTCTTTTGTCCTGTTCCCTATTTTCCATCAATGTCTTCTTTCTCTAACTATTCTTCTCTTCATTTCCCCTGGCATTGCTCCCAACCATGGCTTACGAAGAATCTTAGATGCCCAAGATTCTCCAGTGGCTGTTTACAAGGGAGACGAGGCTACAGTAACTGCCACACTGCATTGTCTCTAGTGAGAAGACAGCAAATATCCCAAATGCTTCCCATGTATAAAAGAGCAGGATGGCAGAATGTCTATGAAGAGGTGCAAGGAGCCAGAGACAGCAAATTATGGGCAAAAGAATTGTGACCACAGACCAGAAGACGGAACGTCTGCAATTACCTGTATCTTCTACCAATCTGGTGTTGGCTTTGAATAGGCAGATTCCATTTTTTAAAGCATCGGGGCACTGAAAAGAAGACCCCTGCTTCTTGAAGTTTACAGGAAGTAACATCCACGAGTATCAGAATGCAACATCAAGGCTCATCTCAGAAACAATTCCTAAAATGAAGGGGAAGAAAGGAGAGCAGAAGAGAGTTGCAAGTCCAATCTGGTGCCACCTGGCCCGGCCCAGCCCAGCCCAGCCCAGCCCAAGGAAGGTAGGATTCAAGGAGAAGAAACTAAGAGAAGAGCCTTGGATTACATCATTCCCTACAAGGCACACTCAACCACCTTCACCCTAGTCTTCAACAAAGGCACAAAAAGAGCCCTTTAATCCCTTCCTTTGCTCCCTGAAAGTTGCAGGAATTTCACTAAGCAAAATAACTGAAATAGTTTCAGAACAACTGCCATTGCTCACCCTATGTGTCCCTTTCCTTCTTCCCCAAGGATATTAACTAAGTGTATATATAATGTATACTTATAAATGTACAATATTATATATTACATTAAAAATAATATACAAAATATAAATAACTCAGTTAATTCTATCAATGAACATCTAGAAGAAGCATTGCGATGATCTAGGGGAATGTGGAACTATTATGTCTGTCTTGCAGTATTTAACCTGCCCTGAGTTCAGACATTTAGATGCTGCTCCTGCCACTCTCTCCGTCCAATCTCACCTTCCTGTTGGAAATTTGAGCTCCCTATTGGCTATTGCATACTTTTAAACTGCCTGTTTTGTGACATGACTCACCCACCAACCTACTGCCACCTGGTAGAATCTTGGGGTTTCCATGGAGTTGTCTGTAGATAAACTCCAATCATCGCCAGTGACCAGTGGCCAGTGATCAGTAACCTCTGTACTGGACACATGCGCCTTTTGTACTCTGCCACCCACACATCCTCCAGTAACGTCTCCTCATCCTGTGTATCCTCAGTTGACGTTTTCTCTTCTCTCACCATATCAGGTAAGGACAGAAACTTTTTAGTGCCTCATTAGATTTCTTCCCTCTCACGTTAGCAGTACAGTCAAAGTGGTTTAGAATAATGGGGGAAAGTATTGAACCAGAATTCTGGAAACCTCATTTCAGTTTTGGTTCCGATATGTACTAGCTGTGTAACTTTGGACACTACTCCCTCAGAAAATCTGTTTCCTCATCTGTTATATTAGGATAATTGATTGGTTATTCTTTCTGGACCCTTTCCTTTTTAATGTTCAATCTTAAAGAGCTTGTGTACAGAAAATGAAATTACACAAGTCTTGAGACCGTTTGTTTCAAGAGAAACAGAGAAAAAGCCTTGGTGGAGAAGAAAACTAAGAACATATACCAAGATGTTTCATCTGCAACTGTCTCCCTCTACTAATATTTTAACTCCAGTATTTCAAATTCAGTGCTGTTCAAAAAGGAATATTCACGTGTTGTGACATTTTCTGTGCAAAGTAGGTGAAAAAAAAAATAGGGAGAGGGGATGGAGATTAGCGGGCCAGAAGGCCGCAGGTGTTCTTAGGGCAAGGAAGTTTGGCGCTGTTGTCATCCAGCACAGGCCGACGGGAATGGAGAAGGGCAAGAAAAGGTAAAAATGAGGAAGGACAAAATCGATGAAAGAGGTGGAGAACACGCAGGAGTTCTCAAGAAAAAAAGAAGGCAGTTTGGGATGGAATGTGGAAGGGGACTCAAGATTTTAAATGAAAGCGGCACGAGCATAAAGGGAAATCATCTCGGAGCAGGGCAAAATGCAGTCAGAGTGTACTTAGATGAGCGGACTGAGAAGGAAACTAAGGCTACAATAGGGTGTCACTAGGAAAAGCAGCTCATCAGGAAAGTCATATTTAGTTGCCTGGTTTCCTTCTGTTTCTTCTTTGAACTCAGATGACGCCTGACAGTTTTATAAATGAACAGTGAAGAAATGTTTTAGAAATGATGCTTCCCATAAACAAGAAATTAAGAAAAGTGGTTATCTAGGGGCCTGGATGGAACAGAATTTTAAGTGTTTGGGTTGTTTTTTAACTTGGATTCTGGAGGTGATTTTTTTAGGCTTCGGAAATTACATTTTCTTAGATGTTGACGATGATTATAATCTATGTTTGCAGGATAAATATAAAAATATTCATGATACTTTTCTTTCTGCGTGTTATGTGGCTATATTAATTGAACTTTCATTTCAACTAGGATTAATATCTTCTACTTGCTGGGTAATATTCAGAGAAATAGGAATGAGCACAATAATGGAATTCCTTTATGGTTATTGTTTTGCTGTCTGCTTTTACCAGTTTTTATTAAAATCTTTGGCTGCATATATCATGGCTACCTATACATTCACATTTACTGCAATTTCCTGCTTATTACACCTGTTTATTAATACGGCTTCTCTGTCTACGTGTATTGGTTCATTCAAAATCCCCTTTATCGTGGTCTGTTTTTCGTTAGCAGGATTCTCTCAAGTAGAGGAGATAATATCCACTTTCATAATATTACATCTATGGTAACAGAACTTCATTTATGAGTAAACTTACTAAGCTTTGATTCTTGCTATATTCCTTATACCTCCCCTTTACTAATACCTATGTGTTCCTTTTTGTAGCTTAATGTTGTGTGTTTTTCACAATTTTTGTCTTATTGTCTTTCCAGAACTTAATGATCTTCCTTCATACAAGTCATATATATTACGTTCATTCATGTATGAATGATACCAGTTCATATTATGATGATGACTTTTTAGATCAGTAACCTAAAGCTCACAGAGTTTAAATAACTTTTTTTTTTTTTCCAAACATCATTACTTGAGAAACTCTCAGGATGTCATTTTGACTTTGGATGAGAAGCTAGGCTTGAAGAGGGTAAAGAATGGTCCTTTACATTTACCTGCTGGACTGGCTTACATGTGAAGTCTAGGAAATGGCATGTGACCTACCCAAGCAAAATGAGACCGAAGATTACAATAGTAGGAGCTGTACAGTTTTCTAATGGACAAAATAAAATTGCTTCGATTTAAAGTTTTATTTCTCCCAGTTTCTGGCCTTGGCTCAGAGCAAGAGTACTAGCAATGGAGTCAGGGTCTGTAACCAGGTAATGATAGTAACATAATGAGGGAACTTGAATAAGTCAATCTGACCTCTCTGAGCCTCCATTTCCTCACTTGTAACATGAGAATGTTAAAACTGAAGTTTGCTAAGGGCCTCCTACTTCTAAAATGCTTCAATTCTAGGAGATAGGCACGAGACAATGCTAGTACCCGCTAAAGGGAAAGACAGGGAAGGGAGAAGTTTGCTTCTAACCTGGGCAACAACAAATGAACCACACCATTTGGGACTTCTGCACATCTGTGCTCAAGTGGGAGCAGAGGCAGTTCCTCAGAAGAGTACCAAAGTCTTCCAGCACTTACAGGCATCATAAACTTTGATTTTGGTATCTCAGTGAGTATTGGTATTAGAGACTTTCTGATCGCAGCAAGCTTAAGATAATGCTTTTCCTTAAACATGTGAAAGTTTATCAATTGTAACATGAGAATGTTAAAACTGAAGTTTGCTAAGGGCCTCCTACTTCTAAAATGCTTCTATTCTAGGAGATAGTTATGAGACAATGCTAGTACACGCTCAAGGGAAAGACAGGGCAGGGAGAAGTTCGCTTCTAACCTGGGGAACAACATATGAACCAGACCGCTTGGGTCTTCTGCACATCTCTGCCCCAGTTGGAGCAGAGGCAGTTCCTCAGAAGAGTACCAAAGTGTTCCAGCACTTACAGACATCATACACTTTGACGTTGGTATCACAGTGACTATTGGTATTAGAGACTTCCTGATTACAGCAAGCTTAAGATAATGCTGTTCCTTAAAGATAGTGAAAGTTTATCAGTCTCATTGATTTTTCATCACCCTTTTGTTCCTTGCAGAAAATTTCCAAAATCCATCTGTACTTGGAGCTGCAAATTCTCTCCAGCTCTCTCTTCCTGTGATGAGCAATGCAGTTTCTTTAACAGGAAGTGTCTGCAACTTTTCCAGCACCCGTGCTCCAGCTGTGAATTCGGCATGGCTACTGCCATCAGCTTCTGGCACCTCTTTCCAGCCACTCATAGGTAGTGCCTACCCTTACCCACATTCTAGCACAACTATGTTGTCTGTGGTTACTGGCCAGAGCCAGATCTCCACTTCAGCTGCCTCCTATCCAGGTATCTTTAAGTTGGATACCACAGGAAGCACTGAACAGAAGTCATCTTCACTAGAAGACTACACTGTGATTGTCATTGACCAAGACACAGCTGTTTCATCTACGTCTATGGCAGCCCAGTATGATAAAACTTCAGTTGCCAATACTGTGGTCCCTCTGTATCCATCACTGTCTGCCAGCCTAGTTCAGGGTACACCATCTCAGATTCCAAATCAGGGACATAGCCTGTCACTTCCCTACCAGGAAGGAAGCCAGATGTCTTACTATCTTCAAGGCACATTGGACAATGGGCAGGAAAAAAACAAAAGAAACAGAGAGAATCACTCCAGGAAAGGTGAAGAGAGTAAGCAGCCAGGGAACAAAGTCCAGGCAGAGGAGAAGCCAACCATTCCCAGGAAGAAGAGGAAGGGAAATCAACCTGACCTTGGCCAAGAGGTCTTTCAAAAGCCTCAAAGAAGCCTAGGCATGCACATGCTGGATTCTGTGCAGGTGTTTCATGCCCTGGGGTGGAAGAAGGACAAGAAAGCTGGGCACTCTTCCTCTCGGACCCTAGGAAACTCTAGCAACACCAGAGAACCCCAGCCCGCCCGAGCTAGCAAACGACAGCTGGATACCTCATGGAAGGGTAAAAATCCTGAGAAAACTCAAGTCAAAGACCAGAAACGAGATGGTAGTGCTGAAGAGGAGTCTCCATCTCCATCCCAGTATGAGCTGCCACCTCCTGGGAAGGTCAGGTTGATACCTTTGCCTTTTCTGACCCTGGATAGGCCTCGACCTCGACCTGCTTCTCGGAGACCACAGTCTCTGGTCTCACATAGGCCTGCTATGTGTTACACGTCCCAGCCTGGTGCTACTAACTCCGTTAATCCATCCCATCCAGCTCCTGCCAATGCATCAATGACAGGTCCTGCCAGGCCAGCTCAGCCCATTCTAGTCAACAGAACCCAACCAGGTTTGACCAACCCTAGGTCTCCCAGTGTCCCTCAGACGGCTGCTTCTGGGCCCGCACCCAACAAAACATCATCCTGCACTTCTCTCCAGCAGGGGTCCGTTTCCACTGCTGTCACCAAGCTCCAGTCACCACCCAAGCCTCAAACCCAATATCCACTCCAAGACTTACGCTACCAATGAATTCCATGGAGGAATCCAACTGTTCCTGAGCCAGTAATGTCAACGCTCATTACAAAAGAGCAGAGGCCAGAGCGTGAGGCCATGAAGAAGCGGGCTCAGCAAGAGTGTGAGAATGCTGCCAAAAATACATCTCTGGGGTAAGTGCAGTATTTCATCGAGAAGGATAAAGAGATGGAAATTGCTAGATACTATGGCTATGCAAAATAAGAGCTTCTTAGATTTTTGGAACCACTTTGGGTACTAGCTGGTTTTCCACACACACACATTTATATATATTTATAGATAGATAGATAGACACAACATAGATATAGATAAGTAGATAGATACGAATATAGATAGATACAATGTGCTTATAGATACAAATTTCTCTATTCTGATATATTTTTAAAACTTAATGAAACTGAATAAACACATGTCCTAGAATTAATAGCTGAGTAATAAAAAGGCCTGTTGAGTTTTCTGATGCTCTTAACTGTGGTTTTTCCTTCGTGGTGGTGGTGGGGATCAAAGGCTGCTTTCGAGAGAAGGAAATGAAACTTGGGTTGAAGAACAGGGAATAAAGGGAAAAGAACTGAGGAAAGAGGAGTTATCCCAGTTCAGGACTAGGAACACCAAAAGGGGAGAGGTTTGATGGCTCATAAGAAGAATCAGAAATAGCGGAAATGGCAAAAGTAAGATGCAGAGTCTGAATTTAGATAAAAAGAGTAAAATTTGGATAAAGTTGAAGAAGGCTGCAGACCAGTCTGGGCTGACCAGAAGAAATGTAAACAGTCTCTCTCAGAGGATGGCTTTATGTCTCATGACCTACAAGATAGCTTTTTAGAAAACACGGTCAGGACGTATCTCCAACAGGTTTGGG